TAACAACTTGAAACCATGTAAAAAAATATTTTGAAAAAGTAAATACTTTTCGAGATAATTAGTGTACCCACTTAAAAGAATCACCCTGTATTATACTGATTTTAGACTTACAAAAATTGATGTTTGTTTTGTTTTAAGTTATCTACTATAAATTGTTAGTAGCATGTAATCTGTCGTCCCAAACCAGATATCGGAATAACTTTATGATTGGCATAATAAGATGGTTGGTTTACCACCGTGTACATCATACGTATTTTTTATTTTTTTTTTTTAATGTTAAAATAGTTAYAGTATATTTTTAAATAAATWATGTTAGGYACCTTTATACATTTCTCCATGTTTTTGGATTTGAAGTCTTGTTTTAATTAAAGTCAATGGATAGAGAGTACAGCGAACACAAAACGAGCTTAGCATACTCAATGGCAAGAATTTGGTCTTGTCCATCATATCCCATTCGATCGTTGAGACGTGTGATCTTGTGGATAACTTAATTGGTTCAGACATTTTTCTGTTATGTTTTTATTTTAAATGAAATATAAAGCTAATATTAAATGTTAGAGCATATTTATATAAAATGTACTTATAAGTTAAAAGAGCCAGTATAGAATAATTTTTTACACTGATACATTAAAAATATAAAATTAATACATTTGAAGACAAGTGCCTTTCTATCAGCATATTTAAATTTTAATGAATTAAATGTAATTAAAAATTTTTAAAAACTGTTGCCATTACAAAAAAAAAAATGAGATTACATTTAATCARAAAGTTCTTAGGACTCGACCACTACTGAGTATTGTCGTTTGTCGTACTGAAAAGTAAATTAGTAAAAAATAATCTTATCGTTAAATATTATATAAATAAGATAATGGTATCAACATATTACCATACTRTAGTACGTGATAGTACCACCACGGTTAGATAATATGTTATCACACTATCACTGTAACCAGTAATTTATGGGATTAGGTTAACTTTTACGTACTTCTTTCAATGAAAGATAAACAATTTAAATTTTAAATTTTGAAAGTCAAACGTACCTACACTTTGGTAAAAATGACTGAAGAATTTCTGAAATGYAAACTAGGCTTTTTAGGYAACACCGAAGGCTCAGCATATTTATCTCAAGGTAAATAATTCAATGATTTTTACCGTATATGAACTTTATATTTTGGATACTTATTTTTATATATTTCAGGTAAAAGTACTGTTTGCGTGTCTGTCGTTGGGCCATTTGAACCCAAAGCTAGTAAATGCATGTACGATCGTGCCACTGTTGATGTGACTTTTAGACGGAAAACTGGAAGCATAAGTAATTATAGATTAATACTAGTTATGTACAAATTCAATTGAACCTTTACACTTTTACAGCCGTCCATGACAAAATGTTGGAAGGTATAATGCAATCAACATGTGAAAAAGCCCTAATTGTCGAACAATACCCTAGGACAACAATTGTTGTAACAGTCCAAGAGATGCAGGACAGAGGAAATGTATGTGTAGTTTATTAATGTTATTTTTAACCCCAATAATTTTGCTGTAATGGTACTTGTGTTACTTAGTTATTGTCCACCTGCTTGAACGCTTCTTGTATGGCACTGATGAATTCTGGTATTGCTATGCATCATTTGTTTGCAGCAGTGAGTTGCGCTGTCACAGAGAAAGAAGAAATTATTATCAATCCAGACGAATCACAAATAAATGTATGATAGCTATAGGGTCTGTGGATATGTAAACGTCCCAGCTGTGTTAATAATGTAAAAATTTATATATTTTTCAGTCTTCTGTCTCATATTTTACACTAGTGTTTGCAAATGCTGAGACAAGGTGTCTGTTAACGTCACATACCATTGGAGAATTCTCACAGAAAACGTATATGGATTGTATGGACAAATGTTATGCAGCTAGTAAAGAGGTTTTTAATTTCTACAAAAATGTTATAAAAAACAGTTATATTTTCAATTGAAAGRCTGATATTTTACCACTTGGATTTTGTCATATTGAATATTGATTATGTAAAACAAAAAAAAAAACCTATTGTTGATATCTTTAAGATTGCGTAAGAAATAAATGTTCATGCCATGATAAACCACGTAAGCCTATATTATTTACTAACAAGGATATAAAGATAATTTTTTGGAACGTGGACATTGAGATATTACCTAAAATTTAAACTTTGATTTTATCAATGTTGTTTCTCCATTAAAAAAATATATATATCTGTATAATATATGTAACTGGATGTTAAGTTGTCTACGGTAATTTGTGATTAAAAGTTACATAATGATGAAAATAATTAATATACCATGAATGTTGGCACACTATATTTTATTTTCTCTCTGACCCATGTTCAAAATATTTTGAGTTATTTATAGACATTTTAATTTTTGATTATTGTTAATTTTATTTTTTCTAAATGTCTGTCTATAAAAATTTTTATTGGGTCCAACATTTAAAAATTAAATAAAGATTTTTATTTTAATATTWGTTAGAAAAAAATAATGATATTTATTGGCCAAATTTTTTTAAAGGCATTTAAATTTAAAATTCAAGACGTGTTGGCAAAATTCATCAGATTCAAAAATTTGCAAACTATTCTATATCTRGTTAAAAAAATTTTAAAATGTGCAATTTATGTATCTTAGGATTTCAAATTGTACATGATTCTTATAAGTAGTTTGTATTGTAGCCAAAAATCTAAAAAATATCATTAGTTATTTTAAGTTAAAATGTATACAAAATTAAATATTTAAACAGAATAATAATTTGACATATTTGTAATTTAAAACTTTTATTTATGGGTAGGTTCTAGAAAATGTTAATGTAATATTATTAAATGGTATACACACATTCACTTTTCAGCAAAAATCAGTTTTTGTATTACTAATTGTGTTAAATAAACTAYTTTAGCATTTATATCATAAAATATACTTAATATTAAAGGCTGGAGACTGACTTAGCTCACAATATTATTTTATTTTTGTTTACGTTTTGATGAAAAATGTATGGGATTTGCAAATTGAGACTTACACAGCCTATGTAGAACGCAGCGTCATAAAATATTCATTAAAAGACAATCAACCATCGAGTGTCTATTGTATATTTATAAATTATTATTAATTGTATTCATTACTATTTTGTATACATCTCTGCTATGTAATGTAAATTATCGTTAAGTTATCGAATAATTGTTCCCAGTAATATTCCAATTACCACTTTTTGTATTTTTCCACAAAACGWTTATAGTTTATTGGTGAAAATAAGTTTTAGAAAAGTAATAGTTTTTTTAGAACCAAATACCATTGGTACAATTGGATTGTGGAACTACAAATGGTAAGGTTGTCCCGTTCATGCCGTTTTTGTTATCAATTTTGATAACTTTTTATCACATGATTAATTGTTATCTGTGAAAAGTGTCTTGGTATGGTGCAACAACCTAAAAGTATAAATGTTAGACTTTCTGTTAAAATTTGTATAAATGTTTAAAAGTTATCCCAAATTTTGAATTTAGTTTAAACAATACCTATTTTTATAATTTACTCAAAGTAGTATCAATTCCTCGATAGTTTAAAAATGGCAGATGCTGGTAAAGACAACAATGCAGCTCTGGAATGGTTGAAATTGAAAACGGACAAAGGTCAAAAACCAGATTATCAAATTAAAGCTGAAAGGGAAGACGTAGGCAACAAATTTTTGAGGAAATTTAAAGAAAACCCATTAGTACCCATTGGTAAGTCGATTTACAAATCAATAACAGAAAAGAAAAATAATAGTTTCCATAATTATTTGACTTTTTTTTATTGGTCTTTAAATTAAAAATTTCTGCTTCGACAATAATTAAGGCCATTAGCATAGCATTTACACATATATTTACATTTATAATTCTTCTGAAAAGTCATCAGTTGATACTCAAATTATCCATTATCATAGTTAAAAAACTATCAAAAGAAAATAATATTTATCTGTTTTAAAGTTYAAAGGAATAACTTTTCACCGTACAAATAAGTTATAAAGTTATAGTTGTCAAAAAAATACTCTCATATCTTTTAAATTTCTAAAATCAGATTCTTAAGGCATGTCTTGCATTGTGTCCAAATCGTATGTTTTAGTTTCCCTTACTACTGAATACTGGCAGATTTTTGACAGGAGTGCAGTTTATTTTCTATGTTTTCTTTCATAACTAATATCTGTAATTTGGTTTTTAATTTTCAGGTGCATTGGTCACTGTTGGTTTTTTGAGTGTAGGTCTAAAAAGCATGTATGATGGTAACAGAATTAGGTCTCAGATGATGATGCGAGGGCGGATAGCAGCACAAGGATTTACTATTGCAGCTTTATTGGGCGGTTTGTTTTTTCAAGGCATGAAAGCGTTGAAAGAAGCTGAAGAGGATATTCATGAAACTGATTTAAAATAGTGATTTGTACCATATAACTAATTGTTATACAGTCCTATTATTTGTTTTTTTTTTCTAGTACTTAATCATTTTACACAAATTATTTGTGAACACAGTATTTAAACATTGGCRTTTGCATTTATCTAAATATATAAACATTATTATATGATTATTTTATAAAGACTTACATGGAAAAAAATGTACAGTACCTACTAAAACTAATTGAAATAGGACCTTTGGGTGCCAAAATCAATTTCATGGAAATTTGATTCCTCATTTTTACACTTCTCTGCCAAGTAAGTACTATGTAAGGGAAAAAACAAATAAGATTATCAAAGATTTGGATTTGGATTACTATAATTTGATTTCACATAAGATGGAAAATATATACCAACTGTAAAGTTATCACTCGTGTTGATGAGGCAATTTTTGACCTATTGAGAAATTTTAAAAAGAGCCATTACCGAAAAATCTGTTAGGGTGATTGTGACAGCAAAAAAGAGACTCATTATCCAAATACAAATGAGGGAGAGCCCACCGAGAACTTACCGGTTTTCCGCCAGGTTATCTAACCGTGAATAAATCTAAAGGTTTCCAGATGTATTTCATGAAGATTACCTACTGTTTGTTGTCATCATTCAAGAATCTTTTTATCAATGTCAGAACACCGCTATAAAGGTTGATTTATTGGTACAAAACACAAATCACCAACTTGTTACTAGTATTGAGTGTTATACCTATATTTSTTCAACTTATACTATCTGAAAATGTTATACTTATATCCCATTATATCTTACATAATATCTTAGTAGATTGTATAAAACATTATAACCATAAATACCAAAATTTATATAATATATTTTGTTTACATAATGTATTTAGTTGAAATCTATGATATCTAGCAATACACTTTAAGGTATTAAATGTAAATTTCTTTTTATAAGAATTATATATTGTAATTTATAGTCAATACAATACAGATAAATGTCTTAATAAAAAAAAAGTATATTACCTATTGTATTTCTAAAAATGTACGAGTGGCACTAACTGCTAGTCATGATTAGTACTTTAAGAGGTATATTTTGAGCTTGTAAACTTTATAAGTGGGTAAGCCATAATATTCCTAGGTTTTTGTTTTKTTTAAAACGGCGACGCCACAGATATTGCATTTGCATTACTTCCACAGGAAAATTACTTCTAGCTTACGTGAATAAAAAACTACTCGTTCAAAAAAAGAATTCTATCTATAAAACTTGAATATATTATTATAGACCATAGGATTAATTTATTGATAATATATTTTATTGAAAAACCATTAAAAGTGTCCAGATTTCTTATAAGTACACAATGTGAGTTTTGGCTGTGCAGAGTGTAAAAAAAATAAAAATGGTGGCGCCGAAGCTCCTCCCCATCCACGTACAAATATCAATGAAATAAGTACATAATTTCAATCATGGTTAAGCCTAAAAAATAACTAAATCARACTGTATTCGAGTACAATCATATGCCAACTTGATATTATTTTAGTCAATTAACCACGGCGTTCCGTATAGGCATTTTGAGTACATGACTGTCATGGGTTCATCTTTTTTGGTATTTTATCAATGATGAATATTGTAACGATGCAATAATTGTAGGTACCTACCAAAATCCAAAATATTATTTCACTATAAATTTTACGGTAAAATTATAATTTAGTTTAATACTGACATTGAACATCAAAATTAATATTTACTTATATACAATAGTTTATTGCCGCCAATTCCAAACTGGTTAATTTTTTTCAAACATTTTACATTCAAGTGTGAACGCCAAAGTAACCGATGAAGTATTTGAAAGTGACACCATACCAATACTCACTTTTCGTCGTCAGATGACGCTGCCATGCCGTAAACGTCTTTAAAATTTGATTTGTTTATCGTAAATCGTAAAAAAATAAAAAATTTAACCAAATATACCTTCTTAATGTACAGGTGGTCTATTGGTACATGCAACGAGTATAATTTAAAATATTACGCCCAGTTTAGAGGAAAAATTGTGGTAAWATATAAGAATTCCTGATCGTTTCAAATCGTGTACAACTTATGTGGAATGTGGAAACTGCAGTTACAAACAATACAATTAACATGTTTTTTAGTTACAAAAATGTATTGTATTATACATAGACGGGGGGAAAAAAATTATAATAATCAAAACGAGTGGAAAATATAAAAAAAAATACACCTATACACCTATACTCGTATATAAAAATTCAAACAAAATGAATTGTTGTGGTAGATAATAATGGCATGTTGTTCGCATCTAAACCATTTTTCGGACATCCAACACCGCCGAAGCCGTAGCCACATCCACCGAATTAGTGCCCAGACATGTGTAATTTCCCGTGTGCACATTGGGTTTGAATTCCATGATTTGTACCCACGAAGTGACCGTAAAACGGTCTGGCCCTCCTCTAGTCTGTATCGCTATTAGTGTATCGTCTCCTACGCAATATTAAAATTACACGTTAATTAATAAAATATAATACAAGCGAATTCAAGAGTTATGTTGAACACTATAGGGCCGCAAGAAACACAATTTACAATAAATTATCTATTGAATTATATAAAAAGGTAAGCTCGCGTTTATTGAGCTCCAATCAGTTGCTATATTATATATTATTATTCCGAATGAATGATTGATATATTATTATAAACCTATAGCGGCTAATTTAAACGCTGCAAATTGCGGCACGCACCGGTTATTAAATGCAAATTGAAGAATTGAAGAATTGAAAAAAATTTAATTAATTATCCAATAATATAATCTACATAAAATAAAACATAAACGAATATTAATTTTCATATTTTACTTTATTGGTCATCGTCAATTAACATGCCTAAAGGTACGCAAATTAGACAAGAAAATGTACGTAGCGTTCTTGCCGTTACTGCTGCTACGTCGTTTAATAATACAATATTAATAAAAAAAATGTAAAAAAAAACATTATTGGTTTTTAGAAACACGAATTTAACATTATCCAATATACATTTAGATTGATTACCTAGTCTTAGAGAAAAAAATTTAAAACGTTTGAGTTACTAAGAAATTTTTTTGATGCCTCTCCGTAAAAAAAGGATGGTCACCGCTGGCACACACTGTCCTCGAACAATGGTTTTCAATTAAGAACAAYATTCGCTTCACACACCAACGACTTGAAAATAAAAATTTTAACTATTTTAAAATTTTACTATTTTTAGTAGGTATTTATATAGGGAACTATTACATTTTGAGTATGTTCGAATAATTGTATGTTTTACGATTGAATAAAATTCGATAAAA